ACTCTCGTTCTTGAACATAAATCAAGAATTGAACAAATCAACAAAATCGAGTAGCTTTATTTGTTAATCACCCTCGATCAAAATTATCATTTTTGGTAATATCACTTGCATAACTAAAATATTTATTTTAGATTTAATTACATTTACATTTTTAGAGATTTAACACATGTTTGTAATTCTGGTCACGTACGCACGAGAAGTGAAATTATACTTTGGATCGACACGAAAATTGAGCATATAATAAATAGTGTGTGCGCGTATGGTGCTCCTATTTTTATAAAAGCCCTTTACATTTTTACTAAATCATTACGTGAAATTTTTTCGCGCGATTAAATTTTACTCTTTTTCTGCAAAGACACGTAAAAAGCCTCTAATTAATTAAAAAAACTCTCATTTGCACTACACAGTCGAGAGTGTCACGCGAACAGCACAACGCGTAAAAAAACAAAAAACTAAAAAGCATTCTCTAGATTCCTCTGGACATTAGAAGTTATTTGAACGTGTATTTGCACCGAAGCAAATTTCTCGAGAAAGAAAATGGACTCAAACTATTATTTGCCACTGAACATGTATCCGGTGCAAATAGCCACCGCTACTACCCCCAACGAAAACAGATTTGAGCCGGAAACGCCACCAAAAGACCTACACGAGATTACGCTTGAGGAATTATTAAACCCTTCTTCAAAGGCAGAGCATATATTTTCAAAATTGACTCAAGAGCAGCTAACTGCGATTGAGAACAATTTGAACAGAGTTAAGAAGAAAAAAATGAGTTCTCTAAAACTTCCTATTAAAGGATTTTGCACTGATAAAAAATTGCGCAAATCCAGAACAATTGGTGGTCGTAAAAGAAATATTATCCCTTCTAAAATGATCGAATCTGAAAACAATGATAATAACATGATAGATCCTATGCAACAACCAGATGCTTTTCTTGAGAACATCTCTTCTGAATATAATTTTAATTTCGATGCAATGCAAGAGCAACAACCATTGCCAATACATCATATCACAAATACACCACTATTGCAGGGGATGAATGGTTATATCGCGGATCAACAACAAAATATGAATCAACTTGATGATAATGATTTTACCGTGGAGCAACAACAAACTACTGATAAACTATATTCGCTTGGGTTTCAACAAAAAGAACATCAACCAGAAGATCCAGTTCAATTCTTAATATCAACACAACCAGAACAACAACAACAACAACAACAGAAAGTCCATTATCAAACCTATCAATTTATTCCCTCTAAACCTAATGAAATTTTTATCGAATCTTCGCATGATTATCTTGAGAATCAATCAAATAATAATGAAGCCACCGCATCGTATCTTGATGAAAATTCGAATAATATTATCAATGATAACACAAATATTAATATCAACGAGAACACAAATATTAATTTTGATAATGTGCCAGTGATATCTGAAATACCCTTTGAATATGAGGATGGAGTTCAATATATGCTATTCAATTATTCGCATCATCGTGTAATGAAGACATACCGAATTCGAACTGATATCGACAAAGTCGACATAAATTTTATTGATGATCAATTTAAAAAAGATAATTGTGTAAGCGAAACATATATTATGTCGTATATTATTTCAGAAGAGCAATTCAAGACTATATAACTTACTATTTATCAATTAATTACAGGTCTATCCACGTGCATTTTGTGCACCCGAACATTACAAAGGCAATCGATGGGTATATGAAACTCAATGCAATTATCTAGGGTGGATGCTTGCGTACCTTAATCCGGAAGAAATGAATGGAAAACGTGGACTTATTCAAAGGGCTGTGGATACTTTTCGTAATTTACAACCAGGATCTAAATCAAGACGTGTAGCTCGACAAGAAAAAGTATTGAATGGTACACTGCGAAAACGTAAATCTTCCCGTCCAGAAAATGAGTCACGACCTACAAAACGTAAATATACCAATAATCAGAAACCAAAAACCTTAATTGTGGATAATGTGGTTAAAGGAGTAAAATGTAGAATCAAGATCAACATAGAAGATGTAAATCTAAATGATATCGATATCATGTTCAAGAAAAATAATTGTGTGTTCCCAAGAGCATTCTGTGATCAAGAACATTACGTAGGTCGTCGTTATTATGAAGAAGTTGCTTGTAATGAATTGGCGTGGAAATTGGTTGGTAGCTTCAGAAATTAGTTTGATTTTTATTAAAGAACTTATATTAAATGCATTTTATATTCTTGATTAACAGGCTTGGCTGAATCCTCGTCATTTGGCCAATAAGAAATGCCTTCTTCAACGAGCTGTAGATATCTACCGAACAAAATTTACCGAGAATCTTAAGCCTCGTGGTGGCAGATATAACGATATGTCCTCATCATTATCGTCATCATCATCATCATCATCATCATCATCATCATCATCATCATCATCATCATCACCACCATCATTAGTGTCAACGCCATATGAAGAATTACAGGCTATAGTTTTTGATAATAGTCCCTCTGACGCAAATTATGAAGATTTCGATAATAGTCCATCTGATGCAAATTATGAAGATTTCGAGAATAATCCCTCTAACGCAAATTATCAAACGCGACTTCCCTTTCTTTCAATTTCTGACAACTCTCTTTTTACTTCATCCGGAAACAATTTAATACCGGCTACGCCATGCTCTCTTGACAGTTCTTGTGAAACACCAATTTCTTGCAGTGATATTTCCACGCCAATCACGTTAAATGAGTCTCTTCTCGATTCAAAAGTTTACGTTGCAAATCAACAACTACCATGTTTCGAGAGACTCCTCCTTGATCCGAACGCACTGCAGCAGGATATGGAACAACAACAAAAACAAGATGTTAATAATAATGGCGATGAATTTAATAATAATCTGTTAGCAGATAGTTCCCTTGTGGATCTGATTAATAGTGAAATTGACGGAAATATGCCTTTCTGGCAAGAACTTTTTGTATGATGAAGTTATTGATAATTTCCATCATATATATATATATAATATACGTATATAATTATTTAGTTTAATTTTTTTTACTTTAATTTACAATTAAAATTTAATTTTTAATAAAAGACAAAATCTAGGCCAGAGGCCCATCTATTAAATGTGGCGTCTTGTGGCGTATTTTTAGGATAATGAAAAATCATCTACTCCAAAATTACGATACAAAAAACATGTTTACTTCCAATCTTCGACGTGCAACAGTTACAAATGTTCTTAAAGGCTTTCACTTAAAAATTGCCACTCCTACAAATGTTAGAGCTTTCTCAGTATATGGAGCTCGCAAGTCTTCAGAGGGGAGTGGTAAGAAAGAAAAAGCAAAACTACAAATACATGTAGAATAAATATGAAAAATTTTCATGTATGTCTCTCTTGTTACTATATAGAAGTAAGCAAAGGACTTTTTGGACCGGGTGCTAAACCTGGTACTGTTCCAACCGACTATGAGCAAGCGACAGGTCTTGAACGTGCCGAACTTTTATCTAAACTTGAAGGCAAGGAGTATTTTGATTTAGACCCGTTACCGGTGCCTCATTTCGGCACCAAAAAAGACCCAATCTTTGTTAAAAGTTTATATAATACAAGAATAATTGGATGCACTGGTTGGTATATTTTCAAATATGTTCGATATTGTTTTCCAGTTATACAATGATTATGACTTTAAAATTTTAGGGTTTCCTGCTGATTCCCACGATCCATTGTGGTTGGTGATTGATCGAAACCATGAGATTGATCGATGTCCGGAATGTGGATGTGTATTTAAGATGGATTATTTGGGTGGCCCTGAAACCGAAGCTCATCACCATTAATTGAAGTTATTGTCGTGCGGAAGCTCAACGTTCTTATTACAATATATTAATGATTTTTACGTAATTAATTGAAAAAAAAGATAAAGCAATTAATTTACACACTAAATTTAATAGAAATATCTTTTTATAACCGAATCCTATATTTATTTTTAATAAGGAATTTTCTAATCATCAAAATCCTCATCATTTTCTGCGTCGTCCGCCTGTTCTAGTATATCATCATCATCATCATCATCATCATCCTCGTGACGATCGTCAGTGTCCTCTTTTTTCGAATCATCTACAACCTCTATAGTAATGATTCCGTTCCAAATTACATAAACAGTCATAAATATTATAGCTCCACAAATAGCAATGGTCCTCTTTCTCTCAAACTCTATTTGAGCAGATGATTTCTCCACTTTTGATTTATCCGATTCAACAGGTTTCCAATATCTGTCAATAAACCATGTTCGACGCGATAACAGAAAACCTGTAAACAATGAGGGAAGACTGAAAGTTGGTAGAATTTTAAGCGGGGTTTGTAAGATTTGTGATGACCTCATTCGATCACAGAACTGTGATAATCGTGAGTATTCTCTTTTAAGTATAACGGATAGCATCGGGTTAGGAAGCTCTGGATATAAGTGAAGAGCTAAATATCCGTATACAATAGCATCTAAAGTTGTTGGTCTTCAAGAGTACGTTTTAGAAATAGCAATTTAATTAAAAAAAGCTCAATAATTTTTTGTTACTCACGAACTTCCAAAAAAATAATTGTTCTCCCCTAGTTTCTCGTAAAGTGCTTTATAAGATTTTCTTGCAATTTGATATATCTGAGATTTAAGATTTTTTGGAAGTGTATAATGCAGCAAGGTAATCGAGATGCTTTCGAGAATAACTATAAGTTATTACCTTATAATTCTCGTCAACCTCATATAAACTTTCGAAGATGCCATATTTTTCCAATCGCGTTTTGGCATTGTTCAGCATCTGGATCGGTAAAATATATCGTACGCTAAGAGGAAGTAGTTTCCCGTACATCGGTCTAATCACTTGGACAAAATTTTTCAAATCGCCATACCAAGAAAATAGCTTGAAATAACAATAGCATATAAAATGGGTGAATCGATGCAAATAATTTTGACGATTTTTTTAGACAAGAATGAGAGA